TGATATCTAAAAATCCAGATTTTTTCATATTAAGAATGAGAAAATTTCCCTATTTAATTATCGAGTGTTAGTTTAGTAAAAATTTGTGGAAAATTAAGTAAATTTATGGAAAGATTTATTCTTCATCACAAAAAATAATGTAAATGAGATGATAAAAATACATGATAATTATGTTAGTATATAAATATTTTTTTCATTATAAAATCTTAGATTATTTAAAAATGTATATTTAATATTGTAAAATTATATAATGATCATATTATTTATATTCATAGGGATAGTGAAATCAGATAGCCCAGGAACAATCCTTTGCAATACATATTTTTCAGAGCAATTATGTGAAGATCCTGGATATTGTTAATGGGATGGATCAATTTGTTAACCTTATACTTAAAATACAGATTGTTATAGAATAGATGAGGCTGGGGCTTGTCGAGAGAATGGAATTTATTCATCATTAGGCGGATCAGGATTATGTGAACCTTTGGATGTATTAGAGAACGATTACAAAAATGTTTGTGGTATCACAAATATAGTTGATGATGAGTTTATTCGATATCCAATTATAAAAACTGGATTTTCTACTCATTCTTTATCAGGTTTAACAGTTACATAATTAAAAATATCAGCACCTTAATATAATTATATATATTAAGTGTTAAGTGTAAATTTATAGATAGCAAAAAACCCAGATTTACAAGCAATTTTAGATTTATATAAAACATACGAGGCAGAATTATTAAAGAATTCTATTCATCCATATTAAATAGAGAAACCTTTGGTTTAGACTTTATAAAATTTAAGAGATGATACAGTAACTTTATTGCCAGATAAACAAAACACTTTTAAAAAGTTTTGGATATTAGCGGAAATTTATCTCAAGAGATTGTAAACCCATAAGCAGAACTATTAATCTTACAATTATTTTTTAAATTTTTTGTAAGTACCTTTTTCTAGACTTTTTTTGACTTTACATAAAAAAAGCCATATAATAACAATAAGTTGGACTAAATATAAGAAAAATGGATTGATATAACTTATATCTTATTCTCCTAAAATAGTAGGAATAACAAATGCTTTGAGTGATGTGATTTTTTTAAATATTTTGAGTTTGGAGGGAACTGTATATATGGATATCGAAGATATGAAAGTTTCATACATATAGAAATCTGGTACATTAAGTAATGTAGTGAGAAAGATGAAGTTTATCAGTGATAAAACATAAATTCCTCATATATTTGAGACAAATGTTATAAATTCTGCAGTATGCAATTCAGTTATGAGAGAATGTGAATATAGTCTACAGTCCCCTCTTTAACAAGGCACATTTGCGTTTTATTTAGAGTAATGAGGAAAAAATGATTTTTTATTTGATTTTATATAATTCATACATTGCGATAATTTTAATCCAAGAGAGAGATACAAGATTTAACAAAATTAGGAAATAACAAAAGAGCAGTATAATTATGATAAAAAAAGCAGAAAGATAATGATTAAAATGAAAAATAGGAAAAGAGACGTTAAATTTGCAATAAATAAAGTTAAATGACTTGATAAAAATATATAATAAATGATTTATTTTTTTTTATTTCTATTATCTTAAATAGCCTAAGTTTGTTTGAGTAGTACTGGTTGTACAGATTCAGGTTATTGTTGGCTTTTAGGGATTATTTATGCATAACTTTGATATTATATGATAAATAAATAGTAGCTTGTAGATCTAAAATTATAGGAAAAAAATTTCAATAAGATATCTCTAATCAAAATGCGAATCTTTTGCTTTGATAAAGGAAATAATAAATTAAATTTTGCTTTTGTTAATTTTACTAGAACGACTGTTGGATCAGCTATTTAAACACAATAATAATAGCAATTGCAACTTTAATTATATTTGCATACAATAAATTCATGGAAATATCCAAAAAAATTTAGAATGCTGTTACTTAACATAATTGAAAGCTATTTTAGATATATTATATTTATTGAGACTACTTTATTATCATAAATTCTATTTAGAATTACTTACTCTAAAGCCTTATAATTAATTAGAATATAATTAAGAATTTTTATGATTGGATTAGGTTGATTTTTACTTATGAATAAAGAAAAGCAATATTCCCTAAAATATGGAAGGTTGCTGAAACAGCTTTTTTTAGAATTGGTAAATTTCACCGACTTATTATAATCAAACTATTATTTTATTAATTAAGCAACTTGTACTTGTTCAAGAAGAGAATTGAAGCTAAATAAATATTAGGATGCAACTCTATATACAGCTAATGAATTTATGTAAGTTTATTCTTGTTGCTGAATATTTTGGCACAAGTAAGGTTCTTTCTGATATTATTGATAATAGACCTTCCACTTCAGCTTTAACTTTATCAACAATCAAATTAGATATTGGATTTATTAATTTATATTTAGAATTGACTTGTACTGATACAAATTTATACGTTGTTTATAAAATATCATAGGTATCTATTTGATAAAAGTGCTATCACTATTAATATTGTCAAATAAGGCGTTACAACTATTACATGTGCTATTGATACAAAAACATGGAAATACTGTAACATAAATTACCTTAACAAATACAAGAATCATAATGAACATAGTATATGTGTTGATAAATCAGAAATTCAATGAAAATTATATATTGAATAAGGAACACCATGCAAATATAAATCTGGTTGATTGACTGATTATAAATGTTCTTGATTATATTATTAATAAATATAAAAATATTCAATGATAAGTTTTCAAGATAGATTCAAAGGCAAAATGTCATACATCTCCAAATATGGAATTAACTAATCCCCTGATCTTAAATAAAATAGCTCAATACTGGTATTTTTTCTATTACTATTAAGTAATAAGATTAATCAAACAATAAAAGTCCTTCAAAAATTATTAACATAAACTCTAAATCCCCTGTTAAAAATTCTTATTATTATAAGTTGCCTCCAATTAAAAATAAAATTGTAGATAGAACTTAAAATTTTAATTAACAGAAATAATCTATATAAACCAAGAAAATGTATTAATACTCTTATATTAAAGTTACTCTGCTGACCACTCAAAGATTAGTTTGAAAAAATATGACAGTGATCTTGAAAACATTTAGATGAAGCACTTGTAATACTTAAATAAGATTGAAAAATTATATATGCTTTAAAAAAATTGATTAAAATATAATTTAATTCAATGAACTCTTACACTCTAACATTCAATTCTCAAGATTTAGAATTAAAATACTAAGAAACCAGAAAGGGATTCACTCTCCCTGTCTTCAAAGGTATAAGTATTATTTCCTTCATCATTTGTGTCATCAGAACAATCATATCCAGTGTTACTAATCAATTTATATATGCATTTATATTTCTTGGTCTCGGAATAACAGTAATCATTTCTCATTTCATCATTCGATCCCTTCAAAAACAATGGATCGATTATTATTTGTTTACAATTAACCATATATTGATGCTTTACTAGATTACAGTCAATCATAGTTATGATTTTCAAGAATCATTTATTTTTGGGCAGGTAATGATGACCTTACATATAATTATTATTTTAATATCAGATTTTAAGTATGCTATCATTTAAATTATTAATAACCTAATAATTAAAATTGTAATCGCTGAATTAAGTAATGGTGATTTACCTGTAATAACTTATTTATACACTATTTTAATTGCTCTTATGGCAATGTTTGTAATTTAAAGGATAAATAGATAATATAGATAATCTTTCTTATTTATAATCTAAGATTATCAAAAAGGTATTCAATTTAAATAATGTATTTTTAGAAAAATTTATACCGTTATTGTTTGATAATCCATTTGCTATTTTCACATTTGATTAAAACAATCTCTCTTTTTAGGTCTTATAATCTAATTTTGATTAATTTCCTTAGTTCAATCCATTAAATAATAATCAAAATAATTTAAAAGCATTCTTACGCAATTATAAACTGAATGATATAAAATTTGAAGACTTTTTATATAAAAGAACTAAAGAATATACTTAAGACAATTCAATAATTAATAAAGAGTTGTTATTGAATCATCAAAAATTTAAAAATTAAAATATAGTAGTTAAGTTTTCTGAATTTAAAGTTGCTGATTTAACTTTCGTAATTATAATGGATCAAAAATAAAAATTAATAAATTCTTAATCTGAAAAAATTTAATATCTATGTTCTTGGATTTAAATTTGCTCTAAAAGTCTTGCTAAATTCTTTAAAATCTAAATGACATTAACTTAGTAAGCTTAATTTAATTAAAATTAATTCTATAAAATTGAAATGAAATACATCTCAATGATAAATAAATTGTCTTAATAAATAGAAAATAATCTTTCATATTGTAAGATTTAGAATAAAATGAAATAAATATTTTCATTTTATGAATCATAGTACAATATAAAAATATAATGTGAATATCGCATTTCTTCTGATTATACAATCATTACTAATACATAGTTGTTTAATTAACTGTTATTTGATTTGATGAAACTTCTAACCAAAATGAATAAAACATGTGTTCATTTTATACTTTAAGAGTAGTTATAATTTTTAGATATTCTCATATGTATAAATCAATTATAAACCTTTAACACAGAATTAATGAAAAAAAATTAATTTAGAAGAGCACTAAAGATAATTGGTCCTTTTGATCAAACAATTTTTAATTCAGAAAGTAAGTATCAATTAATAAATAGATATTATTATTCGTATATATAAAAATATGGAGATTTTATAAGAACTAAAACCATTTAATTATTAATGAAACTTGTATTAAATATTGTTTGTATTAAAAAAGATTAAAATTTTTAATTATCATTTAATCTCCTTTGTTTGTTAAGGATTTTTTGGTTGATAACTATTTTAATATTTCATTATTTAATCTTTTTTAAAATTGCATTGTTGTAATATAGTTAAATAATGACTTGATTATCTAAAAGCTGATAATCTATAATTTAGTTTTATATGATAATCTATATTGTTAATTTTATAGAATTAGTATTATTTTGAATAGCAACCTTAATAATTTCATTCACTCTCTTTTTATTATTTAATTTGCATTAAAAAATCTTAATTGCCTTTATCGGATTAAAATAATAAACTTAATGTTCATTAAAACCAAGTTTGATTATTTGTATATTAGGATTTATAGAAAATATTAATACTTAAGAAAAGTTTTTCTGAAAATCTTAAATTATAATGCAAAGAATTATTTATTGAATAAATCGATAAATAATTAATCAAATTTTAAATTTAAACTATATTGTCTTCTCTACTCTCTATAAATAAGTAATGCTTATTCAGAGATTGGATTATGATTAAAATATAAAAGATGGTTGTATTTTGGAAGCTCTATTTAAGCAATCAAATTGAAATTAATAATAAACTTATGTGAAATTCTATTTAATTAAATTTGAATTTTCTGGGATAGTGATTAAGTAAATTAAAATTAATCTAAATTACTTACCTTTTTTATCGAGATTTATTTATTAAATAAAATTAAATTCCTTCTCATAAATTATCTAATTTTATAATCATCTAGTTATTATTGAATTTATTTTCCAAAAGTTATGTTTGTGAGCGATAAATATTTTAAAAATATATTTGATATCAATATATAGCTTATTGTCATATAAAATAAAAATTTTATTTAGTATTTTTTTATTGGACTGGAGTTCTTTATAATTATATTAAATTTAATTTTTTCATAAATGTTAAATAGATATTGATGGATTATTATGAAATTTTCATTTAGATGAATCATAAAAATTAAATGATAGATGTAATTGGAAAGGTTTTTAGCATGAAATAAAGCTAGATTAAAAAATAATAGATAGAAATTTGTAAAATTTGGAATATATTAAGTAAGAATGGAAGAAAAGTGGGGAAAGGATTTTAGTTAATTTAGAGATGTTTAACGTTATATAATTTAAATATAAAAATGAAATTGTAAAATATTCGAACTATTGATTTCAGCAAGGCGAATAAATAGATAAANGTTAAATAATGACTTGATTATCTAAAAGCTGATAATCTATAATTTAGTTTTATATGATAATCTATATTGTTAATTTTATAGAATTAGTATTATTTTGAATAGCAACCTTAATAATTTCATTCACTCTCTTTTTATTATTTAATTTGCATTAAAAAATCTTAATTGCCTTTATCGGATTAAAATAATAAACTTAATGTTCATTAAAACCAAGTTTGATTATTTGTATATTAGGATTTATAGAAAATATTAATACTTAAGAAAAGTTTTTCTGAAAATCTTAAATTATAATGCAAAGAATTATTTATTGAATAAATCGATAAATAATTAATCAAATTTTAAATTTAAACTATATTGTCTTCTCTACTCTCTATAAATAAGTAATGCTTATTCAGAGATTGGATTATGATTAAAATATAAAAGATGGTTGTATTTTGGAAGCTCTATTTAAGCAATCAAATTGAAATTAATAATAAACTTATGTGAAATTCTATTTAATTAAATTTGAATTTTCTGGGATAGTGATTAAGTAAATTAAAATTAATCTAAATTACTTACCTTTTTTATCGAGATTTATTTATTAAATAAAATTAAATTCCTTCTCATAAATTATCTAATTTTATAATCATCTAGTTATTATTGAATTTATTTTCCAAAAGTTATGTTTGTGAGCGATAAATATTTTAAAAATATATTTGATATCAATATATAGCTTATTGTCATATAAAATAAAAATTTTATTTAGTATTTTTTTATTGGACTGGAGTTCTTTATAATTATATTAAATTTAATTTTTTCATAAATGTTAAATAGATATTGATGGATTATTATGAAATTTTCATTTAGATGAATCATAAAAATTAAATGATAGATGTAATTGGAAAGGTTTTTAGCATGAAATAAAGCTAGATTAAAAAATAATAGATAGAAATTTGTAAAATTTGGAATATATTAAGTAAGAATGGAAGAAAAGTGGGGAAAGGATTTTAGTTAATTTAGAGATGTTTAACGTTATATAATTTAAATATAAAAATGAAATTGTAAAATATTCGAACTATTGATTTCAGCAAGGCGAATAAATAGATAAAGGATCTATCTCATAAATTTCTTCAGAGTAAGATGCTAAGAAAGAACAAGGAGAATTTTAATCCAAATACTAGTAATTAGGATACTGCAGCAAAATTATTATTAGAAGCCCTATAAAAGCCAATACTGAGAAATCTTAGAGATTTGATTAGAATTAAAGAATCAGTGGTTTGTGAGAGAAATATATTTGATGATGTATGTTCAATGGGTGTAAGTGAAAATAGTGATATTGGTGAAGGATTCAAGATTTCTTTTGCAAATCTGAGTATCAAATAAGAAAGTATAGTTGATTGTGAGAGTATTCAACCTACGAATGCTCCAATATTATTATTTTTGCTGATTTAAAATATTAGGAAGAAGAAAATGATAATCTCATTTTAAGAAATCAAATTTTTCATACTTTAAAGAAACTTGAGTTCAATAAACAAAAGACTTCAATATGCAAAATAAGAATAATTACGTAAGATTATTGTTAACAAAACAAAGTAGGAATAATTATTACTTTAAGTATACTTGAAGTATTGGTCATAATAAACACAACTGTTAATATTTTTTGATCATTTTGGTTCAAAGATAAAGAAAATCTATAAAAATAGATTGAATGAATATTTAATTATAATGAGATAACAAATAGATAAAAGAGAGGCAACTTAATAAATGGTTAAGGTAGTGAATAAAAAATTATTTGAATATGGATAATATTTGAATAGAGTGAAAAACAATTTGCATTTGTAAAATTGTTTAAAGTTAGTATTTTTGTAATAATTGAGAGGTTCATTTAAATAATTGCAATAAACAAAATGTAAATCTCCAGTAATTTTTGAATTGTTGAATGAATTGAGAAGTAATTAATTGAGATAGAGTTTAAAGATATTTAATTTACATATATTAAGATAAAAGAGAAGAATAAAATCATTTACATATGGTTTTGAAGATTTGAATAAAATAATGAATAAATTAGATTATAAATTAGGTTTCATAAAGATTCAAAATAAAGATTAAAAAAAATAAATAATGTTGCCAACAAAATATTTAATAACGATTCTTAAAAAAATATAGGAAAGGCAAAAACATTGGGTTTTGCGAAAATTAAATTAATGAAATATAATAATTAAAATAATTGTAAATATAAGTATTTGTGAGGAGAATTCAAATAGGATGGTTGGATTTGAATTTCTAAAAAAATTAGTAATAATTCTGAATAGTATTAAGTGTCTCTTAATCGATTAAAAAATAAATATATATATATATAAAAGATTTAATTTGCATCAATGGTTCGACTTGAGAAGCTCATCTATGAATAATTAGTGAATATACGTGCTTTAAAAAGAGAGAGAATAATAGGATCACCAAGAAAATGGTATTCTGAACCAAGGACTCCAGCAATGACACTTTCAGCAGTGAAGTTGTTTACATAAGGATGGACTGGATTTTTATACAAATTTGTTGAGCCTTTATTTGCTAGGTAAATAAATGAAGAATATAATAAAATAGATTCTTTTACAGATGGATGAGAAATATTGGATTAGAGAGAGGATTAGCAATGGAAGATTTATTATTATTTTAAGATAGAGAATTAAGAAGAGATCCCTTATTTGAACATATATAGAGAGAAGGATTCCATCCATATACTTGGATAATGTTCAATAAGAGAAGAGCTAGATTTTCAAAAGTTGAAAGAGGTGTAAGAGGATCTACTGCACCTGAATGGTTATAAACAGAAGCAAGAGAACGTACATTAGCTGATAGTGTTGAAAATATTTATGAATGGGACAATTATGTTTATTAAAATTACATGAGTGATATGACACCAACAGCAAGAGGAACTATTTTATAAAAAGTATTACCATTAGAATGGTTCTTATTTTTTGGATTTTTAAGAGTTGATTCTTGGGATAGATATTTTTATAATGAAGTTATTTATAAAGGATTAGAATATTCAAAAGAAGAGTTAGCTAATATTCCTAAACCATTTAAAGCTTAATTATGTATAAATATTGTATTTATCAAAAATATTAGCAACTGATGAAGGTAGAAGACAATTTGAAGTTAATGTTAATACATTTATTCAACGTTATCCAGGTGCTATTGTAAAAGAAGGGTAATATTAATATATTAATATTCTAGAGATAAATTTGATTTCTAAAGATTTTATGCTCTTGAAGCTATTAATAATAATAGAGATCTTAGTAAATTTGATTCTTCTTTGATTGCCTAACTTAAATCAGAACTCAATTAATAAGTTGCATTGAAGACAAGCACAAAAGTTAAGAAATAAAGAGCTACCTTCCCAAGTTGGTTATAATAAGATGGAAGAGGACTCTTAGCATGATCTATTACATAAAATATATAATATAAACAAAATTTTTTTATCTCATTTTTTTCAATATTAGATAATTATAATATTAATTAATTAATTAATTAATAATAATAATAGGATTCAAATTTTTGTACAATTAATTGAAGAAAGGCTTTATAATTTTTGTATTCATTTACATAAATGAAAAAAATAGAAGCTAAATTGCATCAAAAATTTGCTTAATTTCATTCACTTTTAGAGATTGATAGTGTTAAAGATTAGATGTTGTTGTCCTATTAATAAGACTTTTAATAATTAAAATGCTTTTATGCAAATCTTGATCTTAATTATCTATAATGGCTTAATGATGTCTATAAAATTACTTTTGAACCTATTTATAACACTGAAGAGATTTTAAGAAATGTTAAAAATGGATTAAGAAGTGGAGAAGATACTCTTAAATAAAATATACGCAAAAATCTCATCTAATTATTATTTCTCTAAAGACCAGTACCTGCAATATTTGTTTTCCTTAAAATCTCGTCTTTATCATTTGAAATTGTTTATAAAGAAGATTTCTTATTAATCTTAGATACTATGTTATAAAAAGTCAATTTAGATTCAAGATCTGATCTTTATTAAAAAATGTATGATAATTTGATTGAAACAACTGATGAAGAAATTATATTATAAAGTATAAAACTTTTAAATAAAAAATTTGAACTTGCTAGTTAATTGAACTAAAAATAATTTGAAGTCTTTGATAAAATATCAAACTAATTTAATAAAATTGATTTCACTGAATCTAAAGATGTTATTATTTAAATTGTTAAAAGTTTTAGAGAATTTTAAGAAAAGTTAAAAAATAAAAGAGAAAGTCTTGATTAGGTAAAATCAGAAAAATTTCCTTAATTTGTTCTCAAAGTTATCTTGATGTTATTAAAAGAATAAGAAATTGTTGTTCCAGAACTTCTTTTATTTTTATATTTTAAAGAAACACCTGAAAAAAGAAAATCTATAGCAATAAAAGCTTAAGTAAAAGAAATATTAAAAATGTTTGCTTTACCTCGTTTAAAAACATGTTTGGATCATTTAAAAATTGAAGATACTATATTTTCAAAAGGAGCAATTGGTTATGATCAATTATATTCATTATGTGAAAAAGAATATCCAATTTTTCTAAGTTTAAAATTAAATGGGGCACTTATATCATATATAGAATATTTACATTAAGCAACTCATATAAATACTTAATAATTCTTAAATGTATTTGAGAATTAAGAATTTAATGATTTCTTAGAATAAATTTGGAATATTTGCGGAAAAGAAATCTAATAATTATTATAAAATATCCTTATAGAAGATTTAGAATATGCTAAATATGGTTCAAATATTTTAAGAATAGGAACATTTTTATATAGAATCAAATTTAAATTAGAGAAAAGAAAATTAAATATAATGGAGAAAGGCTATGATGTAGACGAATAATCATTAGAAAGAAGAACATATGGAGTAACAGAAAGAAGTATGAATCCTTTATTTAAAACTTTTGTAACTGATTTAGTTCATAGAAAGAAACCATTTCCATTATTATTAAAAACTTTGAAAATGGATTTATATAATTTAAAGGTTGGATATAGGATTACTGAAATGAGAGAATTAGTTGTAGATCCAAGATTTAAAAAGCATATGAAAGAAAAACATGGAGTTGTATGGAATCGTGAAGATCCTGATGAGAATCTAGATCATATTATTGCTAGACAATATCCTATTAAAGTAAGCAATAATGGTAAGAAATACGAACTAAATTGGCCTAGATTAATAAAAAAATAAGCTAAATTAATTTATGATAGTAAAGAATAATTAAAGGCTTAATTATTAGATGTTTATGCTAATCCCAACTTCATTAAAGTATATAATGAATTGATTAAACTAAATGATAATAATAAAAAAAAAATGTAAACTAAAGAAATTTTAATCAACTTAGTTGCTTATATTAAATCTATAAAAGAAGAATGATTGAATTTATAATTTATTTTAGATATTTTTACAAATTTTATAAAATTAAAGAGTTTCTCATTAGTTAATCTTAAATGTTATATTTGCAATTATAATATTAAAATTTATAAAAGCCTCTTTATTTTAGCAACCCTTATGTATTTTGTTCTCTTCCTTCTTTTCCAGTAAATAAATAGCTAATGCTTCTAGAAGTATAAAAGCGAAAAGATCTATTTATCTCCAGGTGAAATTTTAAAATTAGATTTGTAAAATTACATATACGGTAAGTAACTTGAATATTAATCATCAAATAATTGTCTTGAAAATAAGTTGAAATAGAAAAACATAACTTTATCAGAAAGTTATTCATCAGATTATTCAGAATATAGTTTATGTTATGATCCAAATAGTGGAGTTTGTAATAAAATAGAAATTTATTATTATTTTTATAGAGTTCGGATAAACTGTGTAAATGTATGTTAAAAATAAATAAGTGACAATATTGTTTTACAATTTTAATGAAACTTTTTCAAAGCTCATTTATAAAACAACCTTTAAAATTGAGGATGTAATAAAATTAATTTATGTAAGAATGTCTAATGTTAAAACGTTTTATGTATGAGATTGAATTTAAGCTTGGTCGAATGCAAACATAAAATAAAATAATAATCATCTATATATTTGATTAATGCTACATTACAGATAACCTAAATCAATTTTATATAAAACAATGATTTTGGACCTATACTGTAAATAATAGAATAATTATTAGAGCAGGAATGAATAATTATTAAAATGGAGAAGTTGTTAGTTATTATAAAATGATCGATTACTAAAATAATAGTAGAATAGACATATATTCTATAAATCTAACATCTAAAGAACTTACAATATCTACAATCATAGATAAACTATTTTATAAAATAGAGTCATTTAATCTATATGATTTCTTGATTTACAATTCTGCTATTTATTTTTTATCAAAAGAACTTGGACTGTGTTATCTAAAAAATTAAACTAATCAGTACTGTTGGAAAATGGCGAGTAAATTCGATGTTTTCAGTGTTTACATAGAAGAAAATGGATTTCATAGTATACTTTTAGGGTCTACTTTTACTTCAGACATCTTTAAAGCTTATTTATTCGATGATTAAACGTACAAAATCATTCAAATGTATAAATTGTAAAAAAATGTGACATTCTAAAAAATATTCCATAATGAAAAATATAGTTTTATTATTGGATACAAAAATAATAATACAAAGAGATACTTTATAGAAATCTATTCTTAAATGGATGATATCACATCAAATCTATATAAAACTATATAAATCAATTCGACTAAAGAATTATTTTATTTTGATAGTTTAAACAGTATAAAATATTATAAATTTAGATAATGCATATGCAATAAATAATCATTCAATTTCTATTATAACTCCATAAGATTCCTATCTAACTATTGATGATGATTAATGCTTTTAAGAAATTATTGAAATCACAGCCTCATTTCCATCTTATTAAACGGAGTCTATATGTAATTTTACTTTTGAAGTAATCAAATTGGAAGCAGGAAGTTAAGATATTTATGACATATAATAATTAGATTACTCTGTTGTTGTTTTAAATAAAAGTATTAATAATTTATATTTGAATAACTTTGTAATCGGTCCTAATATAGATTATTATTTGTATAATTAATAAATTTAAAATTCAAATGAGAATGATTTTGAAAGAATTAAATTTAAAGAACAATTTAAAATCTCATATACCTAAATACTGGATATTAGTTCAATTATATTTGCTCGTTCATTTTAGACATCAAATGAAAATTAATACATACAATTAATTTAATAGAAAGACCTTCTTGTTTATCTATTTAATTGTAGTATTAATGAAAGTTAAAAAGAAATAAATTGCAATTATAAATAAACAATTTCACTTTAATATCCAATATTGTAAGTAATTACAGGATTATTATGTTAAACTGAATGTTTTGTCATAAGGCATGAAAAAAGAGCTGATCTCTATATTGAACATAACAATAAATTTCTAACTACTAAATGTTTCATTGATACTCAAAATACCATAGACACAATTAAATTACATCTATAGAAGTATTTAGTTGAGTTAGAAAATAATAAAATACAAGTATTAGTTTTTTTTTTAATCAAGATTTTATTGCCCGTTTATAAAAAAGCTATGACTTGTATTTTTGAAAAAGTATTTGAGATTAGTTCTCTTGAATTAGAGTTACTTATTAATTCTAAGAAATCTATCAATATTTTTAATGTTAAAACTAATTTCAATATTTATAATCTTTATATTTCAACTAATTTAGGATTAATTATTATAGATCCAGATTTAATGAGATTTAAATAAATTTAATTAATTGCTTTTGTCTAATTTAATTAATAATTTGATACAGTATTATAAGTGATACGTAATCGAATAATAACATTTTAATACAATAAGATTATTATAATCAATCTAGTTTAATAAAATTATTATTATAATGAAAAAGTGCTGCCTTTTTATGATTTTATTATCACCAATACAGCAAATTCATTAGTGGCATATTCTCAAAATTATTTTTATTTGTAAGGAAAAGATTCAAATTATACTGATGTTATCATTATTTATAAAGTAGATGAACCATAACTATCAACTTTTCATACTTACTTTTTGAAAACTAATAATCTAGATTTTAGTATTATTCAAAAATAAGATGATGAGATATTTTTAGTCCAATTGTTTGAAGCTTAAAAACTATACAGTTCTGTAAATTTGTAGTTTAAGTCATCTTAGTCAAAAATAATTAAGGTACTCTTCTAAGGATTCATAAGTTATGCAAAATTAATGGATGTTAATGTAACTGTTAAAACTTCAGAAAAACAATACAATCTTTCATTGTTAATTAATGAAACTTAAACAATAAATTATAATAATTCAAATCAGGAATATATCAAATTAGATAAATTTAATGATTTCATTATGGGAAGTGTCAGTGAATGGTCAATAAAATGTTTTTAATGTAATAAAGAGTTAGAACTTATTAATAATATTAATTATGATTAATATTTAACATCAATTCCAAATACAACATAAATAAAGCATACAAATGATTATGTATTAATATAATAAGAACACAGCATTATAGCAATAGATAATTATGGATTAGTCAAATTTTATATTCCACTACCTCTACCAGAATAATCTATTAAATGCACATCAATAACTGCTAATACTTGGGAACCTAAAACAAAAATAGTAGTTTCGGTTTGTAATTCTACTCTATCAACTTAATTTTATATAACTTCATTCTTAAGTTCATTTCCTGTTCCTATGGGTCCTTTCTATTCTCCAATAGCCATTAATCAAATTACTCACATTAGAATGTTACATGAAATATTATTTATATTAGATGTCGTGAATGAGTAAGTCTATTTATTTAATTTAACTTTTGATGATTATTAAACAGATTTTTTGAAAGTCATAAACTAATTAAATGCTAGAGAATTCACTGCTGATAAAAGCCAGATTTTTGTTAGTTTTGATGTAGCCTATAATAATGGAACTTATCTTTTATTTTTGTTAACAAATTCTTCATGTAGATTAAATTAATTATTGTAGAATTTATCATTTACACATATCCTGAAGATGATGCTTATTTAGAAGATCTGATATCTTTATTTTATGCTTAAGGATACTTTGACATTCCATTTAATATTGTCCCATAGTCATTGTTAGTAGCTTAGAAAGGTTTAAGGGAATAACTTTAATATTACAGAATTATTGTAGCTAATTAAAATTTTCACCATTATGAATTAGAAATTACAATCTAAAATACAGGAAGAGATAAACTTATTTAGGTTAAATTCATAAGAGCTTATATGTAATATGGTTATTTCTATGGAAATGGAAAGATTCGGGTATCAGAAGAGAGTTAAGGATTCTTTGGTTTAATTTATTAAAACCCTTTAGACGAAAAATAAAAATTATTGGTTGTTTATGATAGAACTAGTAATAGTACAGATGAGCTGATTAAAATTATAGGAGGATATAAGATATCTTCATACAATTAAATGTAATTTTCTTATATTTCATTTTAGATTGTTTGATTTCTTATATTTAAAGAAAAAAAATGATGAGTTTTCTTATAGGATCATCTTATAAGATGGATCTTGCATAAGTTCATTAACATTGTCTAGATTTTTGGCAATAAAAATAAACGATAAGGAATTTCAAACTTAAAATATAACCTTTAATGCTTCAAATGATTTTGGTAAATGGGTTAATTTTACTGCCAACATATATAATATAGCAGGATAAGTAAATAAGATAATAAATTTAGGCAAACTTATTATTTATAATGATATCGTTGGGAGTAGTTGTATTTGTAGTAATTTTTTCATCTTGGCTTTATGTTTAGAATAAATTAAATAAATTAGAAGGGAAAGATTTAGATGTGATTTAGGAAGAAGATGAATAAATATAGAAATCAAGATTATGATTATATTTTATAAAAAAATTGATACAGAATTGTGATTAAATGTATAATTTTTAGATGAATATCAATTTTTTTACTTTGGAGGATTCCACATTTGAGTCAATGTATCTTAGACTAACAAAGTAATCATTGCATGTGGTCCAACTCTTGTATAAAAAACTGGGAGGCCAACCCATAATCCTGTAACACCTTCCCTTTGTATAGTCTAAATTAATAATAGAGTAGGAAATACTTTAAGGAAACAATCTCCGATATTTTTATAAGGGAATTGTCCTGTAACTGGATCTTTTTTCATTCTTTAAAGTTTGGTTTTGAGATTATCAGGAGGCAATGAAGCAATGGCACATCCAATACCAGCTGCTGCAGAAGATCTAAGAGAGAAATAAAGAAAAGAATTTATACAATAGTTTATCGGTATAGTCTTCTTTTCCTTTACCATGAAGTGAGACTATAATATCTTTAATTTAATCATAGGTTGTTAACATACCTATTAAAGATAATATATAAAATTACTTAAATTCATAGCAATAGCTCTGATGACTGTAGGTAATGATCCTCTCCAGAGAGTTAAGAGTCCCTCTTCACTAACAATTCTGTGGAGAGCATCAAATACATTCTTATAATTTCTTCTTTATGCTTCTGGTAAGAGAGTATCTGCTTAGAATCTAACCAAACATAAATCAGCTGGGTTTCCTACAATTGATCCAACAAATCCTGAAAATGAGGATGCTAAACATCTTTCTGTGAAGTACATGCTTCTACCATGTGTTCTTTTATAATGATCATCTATTGCTCTATATAATCCTAAACGAGTTGTAGCATAAGTGACTTATCTTAATAGAGCAGCTCCAATTCTAATAATATATTATTTATATCAACCCTTTGTAAAATCCGAAGGGTCCTTCTGATTTAATAATATCCTTCACAATTTCTAAAGTGCTGATATTTACAGCTTAACCTTATCCTTTAAGTTCACTTCTGACTTGAATTCTTACTTTTACTGTATCCATAGGTTGTACAAAGGTTGTAGCTGTACATCCTGAAATACCTCCTATCAAAAAGGGTGATATTAATTCAAACAATGTTGGCATATCTAATTTGATTTATATTAAATAATTCCTAAAGTTTTATAGCTTCTAACATTTAATTAGAGTAAGTATAAATATTCACACGCATTATTCAATCAAGAACAAATCCTAATTTTGAATCATATTACACATTATTTTTAGTATGTAAAAATTGGAAATCCAAAAAATAGTTGGTAAAAGAATTAAAAACTCTAAATTAGAATATTTAGCCTTATGTAATCAAGGATATGTTTGGTTGTCTATCAAACTTTTAAAATATAATTTAAGATTAGTAGCCGAGTATGAATATATTTCACTTCAAAAATAAAAGGATATTGTATAAAATATTGATAATTTTGAAATTAAATTGACTTTTGATCAAAAGACTGAAAAGAATCAATTGAAAGAAGATGAAGAATAAATAGATAAATCTTTTAATCAAATTAATAAGTAAGATATATCAGAATTAGAAGTAAGGAGGAGAAGAAGGTTTGATTAATTTATTTGATTTTTGATAAATATTTATCATTATTATAATGCACTCTCGATAATTTTTGTAAAATTTTCAATAAGATCAGGACTTTGTTCAAGAATGACATTTTAATTGCCTCCAA